TAGTCGCGATAGCAAATGTTGGTTTTAAGGTCTTCCATTTTTTCCAAGAATTGAGCGGACATTGGTGCTGTGGAGAACAGGTATACTCATACGCGACAAATTTATTCATTCGCCTAGCAATGCTCCACCCAGCAGAATGTTTCTTTGCACCTTTATTACGTTGTTTTAGATTTTTCTCACTGTTTCGGATAAATCTAAATTTGTCTACCATTTGCTCCGATACGCACAACGATTGCAAAATTCCACGCATGTAAAAAGCATAACACTAATCGAACATGGAGCAGTAGTTGAGTAAAACTAGATTTATAAACATTATCGTCGAAGGCGCTAGTGTTGGTAACTCCCTGAAAGAGGAACATTGAGCACGGCCAAATTTGGATGCTTCACTGCCGTGTCGTCCATACTGTCTAGCAATGGATCTCCAATTTTCTCGGTTAACTAGATTAGCAATTGAATTTCGCAATTCCCATTCTAAAACCACAAAAGTTGAATTTGGCATATTCAAATACATTGCTTTTGATTAGTGGTATTTAGTGATGACAGCATGATTAGCCAAGTTATAAAAGCGAATGCCTACCGGTAACCGCTTCTCTCGTACTTAAACATAGTGCAACACTGAGCATTTTGGAAACCAGTACATTGAATCTACTACATTACATACAATGTGCTATTCTAGCTTGCCACTTTACTGGCCAAACAAGCATACACTTCAAAGCACTTGTACCATTTGTGCCCTCGAAATAATAGTTCAGGTTGATAAGAAGTCTGAAGGAAAAAAGCAGTGGAAAATGCCAACTATCACGTTGGACTAAGGCGAACTGTATTCAGGAAATATGGATCTCGCTACCTTCTATAAGTTGCACTGCGCTTACATTCATGCCTCTGTCCTATACGCAATTTCACCTTGCTACCTATGAAAGCGAATGATCCGCAAGCCCAGGAGCTTTCGTAACGCTTGACAATCAACTAGTCATTAGAAGTGTAATTTATATGGCGAGTAGTGGTCGAAATCATTTGGAATATTCGGAAGTTATCTTCACTGGATGCTGTGTGCTATATCTCGGTAGTAGAACTAAACTGCGAAGTTACTTTCAGAACTGATGTAGCAGTACAACCGTTTAAAATGCGTCAGAAATATTTGTCGTTTCATGTGCAGTCACAGAAGCATCTGCTCGGGAAACCTGCTAATTCTATGCCCAGATTGTCCTTAACTAAAAAAGAACAAGATGCTTACTTGGATGTCAACTCACCACAACCATCTAAATTGACTTTGTTCCTTTGCATGGGAAACGCTTCGATTTTATCTGCCCGAACAAAATTGTATTACTGAGCGAATCGAAAAGCCCAGAAGTTGTCTTGTACACATGTGGGAGGAGACTATTTATTTCTTCCTACTTTGGCTTTGAATATTTGTTATTTTCCGACTTAGATACATAATCACAGCTTAGACCATTGGTTACTTTGGAGTAAAACTCTTGCTACAAATGTTAACTGTGTTTTGCTACACAAGTATTACTTGTAGACCTCGATGACCAATGATTCATTCGCCAACCAATTCGTGTCAAGTTTCACACCTAGCACTGCTTATCTTCACGTAATGGCGTCAAGTGGTTGTTAGTTTAGGATGGAACAAGTTACCACCCAATAACTACTCAGAACTTCTGATATTCAGTTTATTTTGTCTAGTTTCGAGTAACTCAAATGCTTCCATTGTTTTTGTTCATTAACCTGGATTCAACTTGGTAGGGAGTCAGATTCATTATATATAAGCTTGATGAACTTACCAATTTAATGGCTGCGATCAGCCTTACGGACGATTGTTGCCGGGAACCGTGAGAATCGCAGAATCCATGGTTAGTAATTAGGTCATCACAGTTCATACATTTGTGTGCATGGCACAGAAATTATAGTGGTGGATTTGATAACACATTTAAGTGTAAAAGCGTCAATTCTACAAACGTTCTGCAAATTTCTTTGACTGTTCTTATCATTGGTTGAATTAATGTTGAGTAAGGTGCCTGTTAATCGGTCTGCTACATGACCCTGGCAAAATGTCAATGTAAGAGGTCTAAGTAGAAAAAAACTGTTATTGTGTTCCCTAATAAGCAACGTTAAAGAATAGATATGGCATCGTAGATAAAAATAGCTTTTAGAATAGTCGAAATGGGCAACTGCTCTCTTTGCCCTTGGTTGCATTTACTAGGCCAAAAGTGTTTAGCGGGGATAATATCAATGTAAGGTTGGTCCAATGGAACACATGCACTGAAGTTCCTGAAAATGGTTTTGATCTTACTCAAGTAGTTGGCAAAGTTGAACGACGTATTTGCACTTGTGACTAGCAACAGTTAGCAGTAATTCTACTAGCCAACATCTACTTAGTGGACTTGTTTCACCTGGAAAATAGTCAAGCTAGATAAAAATCGTTTCATTTGATGAATCCATCTGTGGTCACTTGCTTTCAGTTAAGCTCTAGGTTTCCCTACAAAACTTCCTCACCTGAGTAAAAGGGGCTATGAGTTGATATTTTCTGTATTTCTTTTATATTAGCAATTCTCCATTTCATATTTCTGCTTCGGTCGCCCGGATTACTGACACCCGTGACTGCTGTGTGTGGATTTAGAAAACCCGCCGTAAGGTCAATCTTAGTGGCTATGCATGGTAACTTAGTGAAACAGCTTGGGAAGTGGATTCGAAGGTGGTTATAAAGCCACTTTCAAGATCAAGCAGATGACTTTTTCACGACTCTCTCTTAAAAGAAGTATATTCTAAATTTTGTGAAGTAGGTTTGTAATAGTGAAGTAGTTTTCACAATTTTATAGCATAACCCGTTTTTTAAATCATTCGCTTTGCAGTTTCCATTGTTGCTTTCGACCATGGTTGCAATGTAAAATCCTGAAAGCTTTCAATTTCACTGCTGTATGAGAGGGGACTGCGACGAAATATTCTGATATTTCCGTTTTGATGTACTGCTGTAAAACCTAGATATTGTGAAATGAAAGGACATTAAGCCAAATTAAAAATAATTGATCGTAATGCAACTAACATATGAGCTTTAGCGTGCATTTGTGTGCACGATTTCAAAAAAATCTTTGAGGTTCGCATAACATTAAGTTTACTGCATCTATCAAACTAGAGTAGTTCGCTTCCTGCGGTCACCATTGGCATGTGTCTAAAACTTTGAGTGGAATTGCTAGTGTTAGATGACAAGTGGGCACCCTACTGCACTCCATTTTAGGTTTGAACATGTGAAATTAAACTAAAACGGAGCTAATGGTTTTCAAAAACTTTAGCATCACCACAGCTCGGAAGACCAAGTTATTGATGGCAACTCAAATGAGAAAATGACTTTTGATCCCAAAACGTCGCCAAAAGGAAGTGAGAAGGTTGACGTGCGTCTGAGTTGAACATGCTGAAGCAAATCTTCAGAGTAAGTTAAATTTTCCATTTGGTCATTTATGATCACACTAGTGGTGAGATTTTTTTGTTTGTATAAGGCGCGCTAGAACAATGCATACACATCCTAATACTACTTCGCGATCAAAAGTAAATTAACAGTGCCATTATAAGCCAAAGCTAACAATATATGCAAAACTTCTCAGCTCCCCGGTCGAGACGCTCCAGTGTGCATCTGCATTTAAAGTCTACCCAACCACATCACAATGGTTTTCAAATATAGTAGTATGCAAAGGGCATTAAAGCATGCACCCTGGCAATAGACTATACATACTCCTTCAGAAAGTGCGTTCTTTGATTCATTAAACCTGATTGTCAAAGGAACGGGATTAAGTGGTGCTATCTGTAGCATGTTTCTTGCTGCTAACCTACCTGTGTAAAAGCAGGCAACAAAGCAGGATAAAGAGACTTAAATAGCTGTTAAGTGAAGCTTACTTCATCATAATTGATCACCCCCTTAAAAGCAACAAGTAATCATTTGTCCGAATTCCGCAAGCAGGAACTACCGCCGCACTTCACAAAGTTAGACTACAGGGATAAATTAATTCACCGAGTTCCTTCTAGCTATCAAATTTTCTCGCTAACTGTGCGGTTACTGTAGCTGCCGGATTCTTCCAGTTTTCCCAGCCTTAGTGAGTAAGCGCTTTTATTCTAATCAGTGTGCTACGATCCAATTTTCGCTGATATGTCCTTAACAATCACTAAATTGATAATATAAAATCGGACTAAATTTAACACTACATGGCGCCAATACCAAGCATACTCCGAGATCATTAATATTTTCTGCATTTTTTCCAACTAAAACGTGATTTCCAACTAGGGGCTGTATTCAGCACGCCTATAGATGTTACATTTGCTTACCGAGAAATAATGTTGGACTCCTTGATTGTTCCTATTCTTTTATGTCTAGTGAAATTTTCCATCCCTCTCCATGGATGAATTTGCCTTTCGAATTAGCGAAGTGTCAGTGTTAGATAAGGATGAGATGTATCTGACTCATTGCTACAAAGAGATAACATTGTCATTGTTTCTGGTGATCATGAGACAAAATTTTTTAAATGTTTTTTACGTGTTAGTAAGTTTAGAAATTAATTCATAGGAGCGATGTGTGCACCAGTGCAGGTAGATGATTCCAAATCCATTCTACTTGATGGCTCTGCTTAAGCTCCATATCTTCTATTTCTCATGTTTAACAGGCGTACATTTCCGTGACCCAGGTGATTGATTCTACCGCATGGTGGCATAAAAGTAATGTGCAACTTTAACAGACCAAATCAAACTGAGCTAACCGCTTAAAAAATATAAAAATGCCTTATGAACTGGAATCGGTTTAGGTGAGCTCATAATTACCCAGAGCCTACTAACAGCTCGCTCATTATCGGGTTATAATGCTATTTGTATTGATTAATTAGTAGAAATCGAAAGCTTGTCACTTTTGACTCCTTATTCGAAGGCCATAAATTGGATGAATCGCATTAAACCAGTTTTCACCTCGCTGAAAAAATAAGCATGTTTTAAAGTTAAGTATAAGTTAAAAACAAAGGAGTGAAACATGTAGAAATGCTTTTTATTTTCATATAATGGCACCAAAACGTTCTGATGAGTCCAATTTCGTAATCCATTGCGCAGATTCTCTATTCCTTTGTCATAATCTGGATAGGAGAAGAACGACCCACATAGAGTCAGTTTAGTAAGTGTTAACCAAACCTTCTCTTTCGTCATAATGATATTTAATATCCTCAAAAATTGCTTTGCAATAACAGTGATACTTGTTGTGAGTACGTTGAAAGACACGCTTGTAATTTCTAGCCTGTGGCTCAAAGTTATTCGCCGTGAAATATTAGAAATATTAACTACATGCGTCTTATCTTAGATGTAGCCGCCATAACTCGCGAAACATTTACTAGTTTTGGTCTGCGAATCATAAGGGATGCAGCATGGCGTGCCTACAAGATTAACCCCGACTCATAGACTTGGGGAAATTTCCTGGCCCATCGAAACCATTGCACCGCACTTGTCCGTGAGGACAAAATAACTTATCAACAGTGCCTAGCCAAAACGTTCATGGCAAACAACAAACTGCTGTATAAGCATGTCAATAAGCTTCGTAAAGTGAAGCATGGAATACCCCCACTATTCACGGCAGGCGGTAAAGTACAAAGCGCCGAAGAAGCAGCTAATGACCTGCGGCTGCAATACGCCCCAATTTTTGAACTCGCAATCTCTACCTGTCCCATAATATCAAGCTCATTACCGACACCTTTGTTTACAAATGTTATTTTCAACCCATCAATTGTGCTAAGGAAGTTACTCTCACTGCGGAAACATAGTTCTCCGGGAGCAGACAACATCCGCCCGAAGGCACTGAAGGCTATGGCCACCAAGCTAGCTGAACCACTGTCACAGTTCTTCCAAAGGTGCTATGATGAACAACAAGTCCTCACTATGCGGAAGTGTGGCATTATAACCCCTATTTTTAAAGGCGGTAGCCGTTCCGATCCTGCTAACTATCGTCCAGTGACTCTCCTCCCTGTGCTCGCGAAGGTGATGGAAGCAGTCGTCGCTGAGGCTTTAATGGACTACCTGGAAAAATGCAACATCTTGGTACCGGAACAGCATGGCTTCCGTCAACACCGGTCATGCACCGCCAACCTGTCAGTGACACGAGGTAGTTGGACGGAAGTGGCCGATGATGGGGTCGGAGTCGACGTCATCTATCTGGACTTCTCCAAAGCTTTCGACCGCCTTGATCACCGCATCCCACTTCAAAGACTACAAAGTTACGGAATCGGAGATCCAGTACTTGGTTGGATTGGCAACTTCCTTTACCAACGAAAACTCCAAGTACGTGTTAGGGGATCACTTTCTAATCCAATTGACGTGGAATGTGGTGTCCCGCCAGGCTCAGTGCTGGGACCGCGTTTATTCCTGGTGTTTTCAACGACCTGGCAAGAGTCATCTCCCCAAACTTCCTGCTTTTCGCCGATGACGTCAAGATATGGCGGGCGATTAGTAACAAGACAGATCAGGATCTGCTCCAACATAACCTAGATTGCATTTACGAATGGTCAAGGAGGATCAAGCTTCAATTGAACATGGCTGAATGCAAAGTGATGCATCTGGGTCACCAGCCGGTGAGCGTTTTCAAGATTGGAGACCACACCTTGGCAAAGGTTTCTCAGGAGCGTGACCTGGGTGTATTGGTGCAGGAAGATCTCGGGTGTTCAAAACAAGCAGAGAAGGCGAGGAGAACCGGAAATCAACACTTCGGCCTTCTTCGCAGAGCCTTCGGTCGGTTTGAACCCTCAATCTTTCCCCAAATGCTTAACGCCTACGTGCGACCTCACGTGGAATATGCTATTCAGGCGTGGCAGCCGTGGCAGAAACAGGATCTCCTTGCTCTCGAGACTCCTCAACGACGGGCAATCAAGAATGTTAGGGGCCTCTTTCATCTGCCCTATCAGCTTAGACTGAAATCTCTAAGAATATACAGTAGTCGATATCGGCTTTTGCGGGGGGATCTCATAATGGTTTACCAGATTCTGAAGAACCCAAACCACATTTGCCGTCCGCTGCTGGAATTGAACAACAAAACTAAACTAAGAGGTCACCCTCTGAAACTGACAATTCATTATAGCCGGTTTGAATGCCGTAGAAATTTCTTTTCTCTCCGCGTGTGTGAGCCTTGGAATGTCCTCCCTAATTATGTCGTCTCTGCTCCCAATCTGGCGATGTTTAAAAAACGTGTTGATGATGCATTGTCTCACTTACATTTCATTTTATGACTTGTTAGCCAGGGGCTACAAACCGCAACCAAACGGTTTCTTGCCAAACGCCTAACAAATTGATTTATGGATTTATACGTTTGATATGCGAACATCTCCGCCATTCCACATAAGTCTATGGTGAGTCCACCACAACGCTTTTCACTTTATTATGCAATTGAATTTCGCAATAATTTCCATCCCACGGGACTTGTTAAGCAATGCCTTTTTACCCGTAATAAACCATTGTCCATTAACCTCTGAAAATTTCGTGACTTGCATTACAGTTGAGGATAAGACGCGCCAAATCGCAGTTACCTTGCAACTCATGATGGTGCAAAGCTGTCCTCCGTAACCTAGTGGCATAAGCTATTGTCTTGCGGTGCTAGCCACTGGTGGTCATGGGTTCGAATCCTAATGGATCCGACGGGTGTGCACTACTATTGATGCTCAACGGGCTGCAACTGCAGTCTAGTGCGTTTCCAGGCATGTGGACGACTATCTGATTTGGAACTAGAGGCGAAGAACGTTCAGTGCTTTATATCAGATCCCCTACTCATTATTACACTTGCCGCTATTGCAAATGCAACTTTTAACCCTTACATCCAAAATCTACGTTCTCCGTCTGTAAGAATTCCTGAAAAAGTAGGCACCTTGAAGTAGATACTAAAGAAGAAACCCTCGAGATCTTCAGGAAATTGAAACGCTGATTTATACAACGTTTCAATAACGCTTGATATGTCCATTATATGCGAATAAATCAATTCTAGCATAGCTCACTTGTTTGTCGTTGACACTTAGCTGTATCACTTCCTACCACTAAGAAGAACAAACTACCTGCTCCGTAATATTTGTGTGACATAGTGGGAGTTGCAGAACATCATCGCGACCATAACACCGTTAAACCATCCGGGCGCAGCTGGCATCGCTTCAGCTAACATAAGGCTTTGTGGTAAAATTCTCTCTTCGTTAATATTAAAAATCTTCACAATTTTGTTAATGACTGGCTGCTTCCCATCCCATTGGCAGCATTCCATCATGATGCACACACAGAAAGGTAGCACGCGAAATGATACGACAAGGTGCAGTCCAATAAAACACATGTCTACTGCTTCTGAATTCTTAGAAAGATTGATCGGCTAAAAGGTCGTTCAGCTTCTTACATGACTGGACCCCAACAATATCTCAAAACATAGCTTTCTTCCAGGTCGCTCCTGCAGTACCGGCCCACTACATTTATTTGATCACGTTATGACTATGATTGATAAAGAACCATCAATCGTTATAATGTTCTTGGACATGCAAAAGGTTTTAGACGGCGCTTCACACAAGCCACTGTTTTCCGTGATTGTGTTACTGGGCATTGAAAACCCTCTGATCATCTGGTTCCACTCATACCTACACCATCGAACGCAAACGGTCAGAATGGATCAGCAGTACTCCAAGCCAAAACGAATAGCCAGCGGTGTCTTCCAGAGCACTGTGCCCCGACCAATTTTCCCTATTTACATAAAAATGTATGTAATCTCATCAAACGCAGACAAACGTTACCATTTGCAGATGACGTCAAACTGGTCTAGTATGTTGCTAGAGCAACTACTTGTGTAACTAGGAAGCATACGCGAAGTCATACTTTAACGGAATATCTCAAATAAATGTATGTTAATGAGGTACTCCCTAAGAAAATCCAAAGTACTTGCGTACAGATTCCGCAACACAGAAAGCTTTATCACGCTTGCCGGTAATATGATCCCAACCTCTGTCGCAGTTTGAGAGGGGAATACGTTATACTAAGTAGTACTATTTTTATGAACATACACTTTACCAGATCACAAAATAAAGCGAACTATCCGGCTGGAGCACTAGAACTTTCTCCCTACCTGCAACATGATTTGGGTTATTCAGAATAATCGTGAGACTTATTCTAGCCTAGTGTACTAGAATTCATAGGTAATTAAGAAAGAACAACAGAGCAGCTCTAGAAAATGTTCGACTTTCATTTACCAGTGTGGTCATGTGATGCTATTCAACGCAGTGTTATTACGCTCCTCGCGGCCCGCTCCGTATCTATCCATTTTGGCTAGGACGACTGTAGAAAACTCTCCTTCTTCTCTTCCACATTATAAACAAGCGGATTTTCATCGAGTATACGGAAAACAGCGATCTATACCACTTATAAAGGCGGGTATTTTGCTTGCAGCTCCCAAAATCCGATCGACATTTTTAGTTCAGAATGCTAATCTGTGGATTCGATTACCACTAAAAGTATACACTAGAGCCAGCCATGCCATATTCCGAAATTCTGTAGAGAGTTTCCTCCCTATCCCGAATGTGGCTAACAATATTTTCCACAACAATCGCCAGAAATATTGCTGGCAGTTTGTATAAACAACATAGAATTTGGCAGTAGCCCACGGTCCGCTTATCCTCTATGATTACCCATGATTTAAACATATGCCTGTGCTACTTACTATCCCCTACACCACTTTTGACCTCTCGAGTTTTTCTACCTAGGCAAGTTAAAAACAAGGGTACAAATGTCGTGCATTTCGCATTTCGACTGCTCGGATCATTGAGCCGAGGAAACATTCATGAATGGATATGCAATTTTGCGTCTTAGTTTTCTTATATTGTTAGCAACGTAAACCATGACACTACTTCTGTGTACACTTAAGGACCGTATATTGCCTATCGGTAAATATACAAATTCATTTATTTATATATTTAGTGACGATCTTACCCCTATGATCGAATTCTCTGTCCGTTTAAGCTTGGCATAAAAACATTCAGACGATTCTTTTAGTGACACTGAACATCAAGAGAAAGTATGCACACACTCACAGCATTCTAAATTTGATTCTGTTTTCCATGAGCAGCTGCAAGAATTGTTCACCGGATAAACCTAAATTCGAAAGAAGTAAGGAAATATGCGGGTTCTATTTATAATCTTGAATGAATCGTGCAAATAACAGAGGAGCTGATGTACAAATTACGCAACCAGTGTGTTTAATGAGTCTGACACTCTAAGAACTATTTTCTGTTTACATTTACAGTCGATTGATTACAACGCTTTTGCGCTTCATCCAATCAGATGCCTAGAAAATACGAGCACTGCTTGGTGTTACGCAATTACAATGCTGCAAACCAGTGACAAAAACTTGCAGAAGCAAATGAGTCGCACTTAATATTAGCTCCACGGCTCCGGGTTATTATGGTATATAGCTTTAAGGATATGGGTTCATTGAATCACCTAGCGGCTGCTGTCATGACTCGGAATGTAAAAGGAATTGTTTATAGTGCGTAAGAGGAAATACGCTCTGCTAGCGACGTGTATGAAGACTAATCAGATATCATTAGACAAAACTGATGTATTTCTTGACAATAAATCAGTTATCTTCCTGTCATTCTGTTTTAAATGGTGTATTCAAACTACAAGTGGCTGCCCGCTTGACAATGTATTTGGTTGCAAAATTTTTATGATCAAAAGTTACCTTCTATTTAATAAACTGAAATAAAAAGCATTTTCACTGAATTAAAACACCCCAACCTTAGATTTGTGACTTTGATAGCAGCAAAAACAATCGAAAGTGCGAACCTTGTTAGCCGCTTCATTAACATGTAAAAATGCACCGGTGTTCCACTATCATGTGGTGCGTAATACTTTTATATATTTATGTGTACGGAGGTAGCAGTAAATTGTTCATAATCAAACAGACTAAATTACATGATTAGTTTGGCTGTGCATGGCAAAATAAACAAGAAATAAATTAATCAATTAAATTCCAATAAAAGAGAGGATCCAAGGGACAATAAATCAAATGGAAATCAGCATTGGGTTAGGGACTGGGCATCATTAATGACCAAAGCTTATAGTACTGATTAGTTCCATCGAACTGCATCGTTTAAAAGGTGTTGTGTTGCATCGCTGAGGCCTTATTAGAACGAATACTCCCTGGTATGAGGGGAATCTTGCATCTAAATAGACCATAATATCCATTAAAACTTGCAATCTTTTCCAGGTACCTTTGGCAATTGATAACACGGTACTGATTTAACAGCTTTCTGTTGACTGGTGATTTGAGTTTCTATTGCATGTCCTTCCCAACAGTCCGCTCACGCATGTAAAAAATCCCCGTTTGATTTATCAGCCATAATTCAGTATAACTACGAAATGAATTCTTCAAACGGATTCAGACTTTTCGACTAGACAATAGATGGTTTAATAAGTAACACAACAATTTAGTTTTTATATGACTGATTTGTCTATTCATTCATGTAGGCATCGTTTCGCTTTTCACTCAACGTGTGTCATAGCCAAGAACGTAGAAACGAGCTCTGCAGCTACAGATGAAATCGCAACTATAAAACTGCACCAGCTGATAAGTCAACATATTACCCAACAAAGGTTAATATTTACTTCCAAATCAATACGGACAGTTTTTCTCAAACAAATTTGCGAAAACGTAGTGGTGGTACCCACCGGACAGATACTTGATGTCGCACCGCATCTGGATGAATATCTCAAATCTGATGGCTTCAAGAAATGCACAGTACCGACAATGAAAAGTTTAATTTACAGGTTGTTATCTATGTGATTGTGTTCAATAAGGTTCCTGCAGCACACCGTATGCAAAGACATTGCTAGCATGTTTCATGGATTTGTTTACTAGGTCTACTGTTAAGAATATGGCAACCCAAAATTCCCATAATGCAACAAATTAATCTGTTTCCCGGCCTTAGGAAACCGTTATTCAGGAGTGCTACCGTTTTCTATACATGGCAGAACGAAGATGTTAGTGGTAATTGAACCAAATTATGTCACCTTTGTTAATGAAATAATATCAGTCGTTGAAGTCTACTATGGTCAACTAAAGCTGACCACACATCCGTACTATTAGGGTCGCAGCTTCTGTCCCCACATGGTAACAGTTGAAGTGCGCGCTGTTGGCGGTGCAACTGATGTTGGGTGCGAAAAAATTTAATTTTTGTAACATTAGTAAATAAAATAGACAACTAACTAATTTTCAAAGGAAGCCAATTTATTTTCGCACTACGCTAAATGTCGGATGCGTAAATCGTCTTCTATCCTATTTGCCTCTACGCTGCTCCCGATTAGCAGCGGTGTCCAAAAATGAGTACCTTCCGTCTTCTTCTGAATCACTAACAATTATGCAGCTTCTGCCTGTATACTTACCACTGCGTGCATTGTTGCGTCAAATACAGTATCTTCTCTGGTAAGATCGAGGTGAGAAGGATCCTTTGTCTCATCCATCACAGACTTCTGTAAGCTAAACAAGCGCATCGGATTTGATATGTGAACACGGTCTTTGCTATAAACAATGCCCTAATTTTCGCTCTTGGTCAGCAAATCAAAGAACGAGGTGCAGGTAGTTGTCTAGGGAAGGCATTTCGATTAAGTACGCAATGAAATACACTCTGAAGTATATAAATCAATCGTTCTGAGCAACTTGATCTGACCAGCACGAACCACACCTTCCTTTTGCTAAACCAATCTCTAATGACTTAACGCGGTCTTGCTAACAGCTAGGTTACCTGTAATCACGCGAACCTAAATAAGATGTATAAAGGTAAGTTAAAAAGGACATGTTTGAAGCTATTGATGTTGGGGTCTAATGTCAAAAACTGCTTCGTGCAAATATAAGTATAAGCAAAAATGTAAACGTGTTTTACCAACCTATTGGTTCCTTATCTTCTTGTATGGCACTTTGTGAATAGAAATCTTCCCATTCCGAGGATTTTGTTGAGCCAATAAGGTCTGCAAATTCTAGGCTCCCAAACTCTGAGATTTTAAGTGGTATAATAAGTGTATCATTTTCCCACCGCATGTGTGTCCAGCCGCCTCGCGGTATTTCCCGTTTAGTGATAAAATCAGATTCCACCATGTTAGAATTTGTTTTCGATTGTAGTGATTTAGCTGAGGGTATGTCAAAAAAGTCAACATTCGCATGTGTATTCCCGATACTTGCACTTTCTGCAATGTTTTTGGCTAAAGGCCTTCTCTCGAGTTCGCCATCTTTTATCCGGCTATCAGTTTCGTTGTTTGTGACATCTACTGACTTGTTTCGGTGCCATAGAGCATTCTCATTTCTCTCGCTCTTCGCTAACGTGTAGACATGCGTGTTGTGGACAATATGGTCACGTGAAATTCGGTGCTGTTCAGAAGTTGGCTGGGGGTGAATCCGGGGATTATCAATGGGCAACTGAGATTGCTGCACAACGTTACCTCGCATCAAGATCGCTGCTTCTAGTAACTCGAATAAAAAGATACAACTGAAGCCGATAAACAAAGAGCAAAGACCGCCAACCTCGGAAAACAACTTGGCCAGCGAGAAAATTTCTTCCTCCATTGCCACATGCACCGCCTCACTGCGCACCAGTTTCAGTTTGCTCAACCCAACAGACATATTTGCTTCCGGTGCAGGAATAATAATTTCGTTGTGCTTTATAAATTTGATCATCACGCACGGTAGAGGGCAAACTGAATAAGGTATCTGTTGATCCCTGCACTCGGACACCTCGCACTTCTGTCCCGCTTCACACCGTGCCGCACTGAACCGCAGCACATGCATGCTACAAGTGCAGTTGCAGTTTCGCTCCACTTTCAGGCAACATTCCGCCCATGCACATGCCTCACGGCTGTAGAGGAATTCCGTACCGAATAGATTTACCGTTTTTGTGAGCTTCGTTGGAATTCTCGTTGTGGCCCTTTCCCCGTGTGTATCACTCATTTCATCAATCAGGTTGTCATCACTCAAGTTTAGCCTCAGTTTGTCCAAATGATCTGTGTGCCACATCATATCCTCCTTTTGGACCTCAACACGAGAGTGTGGGTATGCTGGGCTGCTGCCGTCTTGGTCGTTAGCATCAGATGAATACGCATATTTGTCCATAAATTCCTGCTCGTAAGCTGTAGGGTCAGTTGAGGTATCCACATACTCTGCTGCCAGAACTTTGGCATCCATACCCTGATGACACGGATTTCGAGCGGTATTCAATCGCTTTGTGACTGACTTGGAAAAATATATCGAAACCATTGCATTTGGCGGGAGCACAGTTTGGATATGTCGATCATAAGCGCTAAAAGGGAGTTCACCTCTTTCATGAGTGATAACTGTGAATGAGACATCCTGGTTCAGTGATGCCCTCTGATCGATTTCTATTTCTAAGTATGACCACCGATCTGTTGGCACTCGCGATCGCAGTTCGAAACTTGTGCACATAAAGGTGCGAAGGTTTGGAACCTGTAGAAGGAGAAAAGTTAGTTCCGTTTCAATGAATTCTTGACGTTGAAGCATGGTCAGTACTTTAAAAGCAGAGTGTTTAACACTCATATTTCTTTCGTCAGCTTCCCCTTTAATCAGATTTGCAACCAATCTAGATAGAGACATCCATCATTCAACTTAGACGGAAGTGAAATGCTGAATAAAATTGCGGCGTCTGGTTTTGTGTTTCTACTAGAAGAAATAACAATGATTGCGCGATTAATAAAATTTATTACATTTGCTTTGCTACGATTATAAAGTGGTTTGTTGTCGTCTGTGACTTAACTCAAAATCGATTATAAACGTTTCTGTATTAAAATCACTTCTACCAGAAGTAAACTAATAGCGGAAAGGTTTACTCTCAACACACAACCTACTGTTTACCAGTAGTTTTTAGGAATGTGTTCTGAAAGGTTAGTGTATTTCATTCCATGACTGCATTTAATTCCATTGAATCTGCTCCGCATAAACCGCGGAAAACACATTGACTGACTAGATTTAATTACTTTTGCTTCAGTAGAAGATTTAGTTTAGCACATATTTTCACATCCCAAACATAAATAAGACACGAAATTCCACTAAAATTATTCTGAAATGTTTTTGACAACGTACAAAGCAAGTGACTGCTATCATCTATAGTTTATTGACATACTGCACGCTTGTAATTTTACCATGCAGCTAATAAGTCAACAGAAGTTGACCTTCTGTCGAAAGTAATTCAACGTATGTGAGGATCGCCGTTATGACGTTTATAGTGGGACGGATGGTACAGGTGAACCTGGGCTAGCCTGCTCCCACCAAGCAATTACCAAAGTTAGGTCAACAAAAGGACTGGATACGGACATTTTGCTTATTTACGTAGCTTTTGCTCCCAGTCTGAGTTGTGATTTGCTGCGTACTCAGCAATTATCTGTTACATATGTGAATCCAAACGCATTTGGATCACGATGTAGAAGCATGGTACGACGGAACTTGAGTATTTTGGAAGTATTTTGTATTGTCAGTTATTTCACCAATATCAAAAACCTAATTAATATACACTTCAACGTGCAATATAAGACAGCAGGAAAATATACCGCTTTGAAAAAGTACAATAATTCATTTATTCACTCGTACATTTAACAAACCTACGCATTCATATGGTTGAATTCAGATGCTATCGGACGTTATCGTGGAAGCTGGTGACCACGGCTGTACTGCACCTTCTATGGATTGCGGCGACTCTTGGAAATACGTACTTCAGCTCAAATTACTTCTTTTGGCAACTTTCTATTCCATCACTATTCCGTTCTCAAAGGCCAAACAGTCAGTGGCGATCCGGTTTGTCATTGTACAATTTCCTGTACAATTTCCCTGTGGCGTTGTCGTAATCAAAATAAAAATTCCGGGACATTACCACCATTCAGTGAACACATTTTGGCCTTTACACGGACAGGAGCTCTAGGAAGTAAACCGGAGAACTGATGGTAGATGCATAGATAAATGTAATGATTACTTTACTAGTTTCGATCTGCACATACCCACATCAGTAATGATAATGCAGCTCAGGTCACCTGTGGTATTGACAGATTGAGGACATACGTAGTGATACGTGTGTAAAAATTAATCGATGGTGCATCTCGACACTGAGCAGCAGCCAATGGCAGACCTTCCCACTTCCTATCGTCTACTAGTACACCCGCTTTCACATGGGCACTAAAACTTTACCTGGTTGACCAGGCTTGTTCTTCATCATCTGGCAGTTCAGCTAGATGCATTGCAGCCAACTGACTCACTGGACTTGTGGACCCGCATTTCTGCAGTTTTTTATCTTTGTAATTTCCTTTTGCCAGAAATGGAGCATTAACTTCGCTGCCTCTATTCGTTTAAGGATCGTAGAGTTTGTTTTACTACGGATGCCCTCCTGCTAGTCGCATTAAAGAACTGGTGCTAGAGGCACCTGGGTCTGATGTATATGTTGCAAGCACACAATGCTTTGTAACAGTTTAACATTGACAATAAGTAATACAGGTGTTTCCCGCATAAGACATATTTGCATCCAGTTTACTGGCAGTTCCAATGCGCGCCGCGAAACCATTGCTTAGGAGAACGTGCAAAATCGTTAGATTTAAATGATATGACTATCCGGTGTCTTTATTCGATGTATCCAATACTATCGGAATGATTGTAATATTATTTTTGTCATAGTTCGTAATTGCGTAGTAAAAGAAGAACTTAGCCAGTAGATTATTGGTCAGTGGTCAATGACGAACTCAGAGTAATATCCTTAACAGCACGTGCAAGCTCTTCTTGGAGTTGGCGTGTGGCAAATATCCACAATTTGCATACGCATGGTTTATTGGATATAGGTTGTAACAAATTCTTGTGTGTAAATCTACTACTGTTTGGCTGCTCACTTAACTGAAATTCTTGTAAATGTTACTGACCTAAGAATAATAATTTTTCTTTAGAGTACCTGGTATACACTACAACTGCTAATTCATTACTATATAAAACTATCCGCGGTGCCTAGGACGACCTGTTCATGGGTAGTGCTAATACTGCCCTCTCCTGTATCACAGTAACATCGCTCCATCAGTTGAATGCTTAAATATTGCATACACTCCCAAAAGCGCACAAATAATCCACAATTTTCCATTTCAGCATGAAGATGGTTCATTCTTGGATTGCCTCACCTACTTATACTGTAAACATACTTGGAAAATATCTAATCAAGCTAAGTAAAAATGAGTTGGTTAGCCAATTGTTTTGGGATCAAGTTGCTACCTTTTTACCGAAGTCAGGTTGTCTGGTTAAGTCTTTTGCTGACGTATTGCAAGTCCACTTCATTGATGTTGTGACTATAGGAGTCTATTTTTCCCATTTGCCGATAGACGTATACCAGAGCCAAAACCTGAAATTATCAAAAATTGCAGAGAACGTTGCGTGCAATTAGTACCGCAACTGTCTGAATGAGATGGCGAGAATGAGGCTGCCCACTTAGTGTGCAATAAAGCAACCGTTCTCAAGTGAGGTGTTCGGTTTGCATATACTGACTGAAACAAATTAGTACATTTCTTGTTTTCAGGCCTACGTTCGCTTGTTTAAAGCAAGCATTAAAAGCAGGCTGAGTAAGGTAAGGTAATTCAAAACAGTGACCAAAATACAGCTCGATAAATCGTCAGGTTATAAGTAGATGTTTTAGTTTCAAACAGGAATTTATTTACCTGTTGCTGTCTCTTCCACATAGCCGTGTTCTTGAAGTTCGTATTAAACAAGTTTCTTCCGTGCTGTGTGACAGTAAACTCTCGGTTGGGACGCTGAAGATATTAGTTAACCTGCACGTGTCATCAAGAAATACGCCACAAAAAAGCCCTTTTCTATGTATGTAGGTTTAGTTACCACACTTGCAAAGAAATTCTGCGTTTCAAACCCTACATGCTACGGTTTGCTGTCTAATCGCAGTTTAACATGTGACAAGTTCGAGTCATCTGGTTGCTACGCAACGACAACCCTTTTTGCTCCTGTTCATCAAGTCAAATTTTTTAAGCGACGCTGCATTAGGCATCCTATGAGGTGCAAAAGTATGAGTATTTTTTGTGTACACGACTCATAGTATTCACGAATTAAGCATGTTTACCGAACTATTACTGATTTATGAATTAGTGTACGTGCATCAAAAGCTTGTTTGCATGCACTTAGGTAGAGTCGGCTATCAATAACACATAAATATACATATTGTTCCGTAATATCTAGCAAAATATATCAACAGAATACCAGAGTTGGTCACCTTGGCCGATTTGCCGCTAGACTTTTGAGATTGTAACATCACTTATTTGTAAATAAATGCGAGTGGTCGTAGCGGGATTCAGGTGTTGAAGATTTTTGACATGCCTCTCTCTTGTAATGTATTTTGTGTAACGGAATAAAGAATGGTATTTTTCACGAACGCAATAGAGTAGTTTCTCTAAATTAAAATCGGATATCGCAAGTACGCTTGAAGAACAACTAAATTCAATTACAATATTTCCATTGGTTTCTGTAGTAAGGAGATGTACGCATATATAACTTGCATAATCACACAAACAGTGTGAGAAAATGTTCAACATAGCATGACATCGCAATTATTTCTTTGCAACAACAAGAATTCACGGTTGCATTTTCCACCATTTTGTGTAAGCCACTATTGGATACAACTGTGTCTCAGGCTTCAATGATAAGTCCATTTTTGCTGCATTTCAGTAATCATATTAGCTAGAGTAATAACTATTTTCCACTTATGCATGCTTGAAAGCTAAAAACATATATGGTTATTCGAGACAGCTAATTTACTCTATTGATGCAAAATAACTTCAAGTCAGTCGGTTGCATCTGCATCTTTGCCTTTACAACACTACTTAGTGTTTTATAGCCGTGAAGAAGCACATTCTTCCGAACGTCTTGCTCTCAAACATACTTTTTTGCTTGGTATATGTTCTTACTTTCTGGACCAAATAACAGAATGGAAATGTATGGATATTATATTTTAAAAATGCCGTTTTATTCTTGGTCATTTAGTTAAAGTTCATCTGCTTACTCTTCAGTAAACTGTCACAGTCATACTCGCCGTTAATTTTCTTGATCCTATGGTGGAAGCTACTTCTTAAGTTTAGTTTACCGAGCATTTGTCATCAAAGCGCCAGTGTGAAGATCGATAGTTCAATTGCTAGGCATACAAATACTTTGACTGATACCGGGCTGAGAAACCTATACCTTAAATGTGGTGTCATAACAGTAAGCACCTTTGAATTTTCTAAGGGAAGAGGATACAATCAGTAGTAAGCATCCATTAAAGTAAAGTACAAGGACCACTGGAATCACTGGAAGGTTTGCTCCCCTGGCACTCTGTGCCTCGTAAAAGTGGTTTGAGTCCTCGAAATGAGAAAACATTTTAACGGACTCTGACTAATAAGCATCAATTAAACTGCCCCATATGGACATATTGTAAGAATGCAGTATTTAGCAATTTCATGTCAGTAAGCTTACTTATAAAACTTAGCTTTTAATCTGAAACGGTCTTATAGTCGGCCATTCTTTTGGACCTGCACAAACTATCTACATATTATCTGCAGCAAACGGTAAGGCAGCCAAAACTGGAGGTTTACTCGGTTGATTTAGTATAGGTGCTATGATTTGGACGTATAGTGACTTACCTGCTCCATCACCGTTAGCCGATATCCACTCATCAAATGTGGTGGCTGCATCCGAAACTGAATGCTAAAATTTTGCAAGATGGCGTAAATGGGAGAGAGTGCAGTAACTGCACTATCCCATCTCAGTTCACCTTTCGGCAATCGATGAGTAATCACATCCAAAGACAAAGTTTTGGCTCTTTGCATAGCTCGCCGTCGTAGCTCTTTCATTATGTCTGTGTCCTGCCACGGTAATCCATCTGTTTTCACGTCGGGTAGTAACTTCCGTAAAATACGTTGCGCATCCTCAGCTTGTGGACAAATTGTGAATCCAGGAATTTGATCATACACAGCGTCTCGCCCGGAATAATCCAGCTGAAATACCGTCTGATGCTGACAGTATTGGATGACAACTAGAGTGATACAGACGCATAGACCCATAAACATTGTAGCGGTGAAAATTGCCCACAACAGTCTTAGTGATCGAGATGGAGCATTAGCTATTTTCGCCAGCGGAACAAGTGAACTCTGAGCAAACACTGCGTGGAACCTCGTCATCACTTCAGCTGCGTTCGAGTGAATTCATATCAGTGTGGTTATTTCAGCATAAATAAATACAATGGAGGAGAGTTGCGTACGACGCCATTGGCTAAATCTTAGGGCCAATAAAACTTGCCGTTCACATATAATTCTTATTCTTCCTGTCTACTGAAAAACAAAAGAGAGCTAATATTGGCCTCGCAAATAGATTCGCTTTTGTCAAACTACGTGCATTCGTAGACAACGTATAAATTTCGCATTAATAAATTTTCTAGGGGAATACTAGATACGGCAGCAAACCATTTTATTTTCCGTACGAAGTGTTACGGATTAAAAGAAACTGCGATTTCATACAGCTAACAAGTACAGTTGGCAAGGTAGAACTCTGGTTTATGAGTTGTGATGCAATTTATTTCCTTTAGATTTGATAGTGGCTGGTTTCCATTTATCAACTTTGCGTTGTGGCCCCTAAGTTCAATTAAAGATACAGTAAAAGCTGAGACATTTGTTCTGCACTAACGTGGTTCGCAACGGTAGTTGCTGCCCACCCTGCGGACGGGGCAGATCTCCCGAATTAAAAATACCACTTCCAAACTGCTATTTTTCACATGATTCAGAGTGATTAGATTACCTTTTGTGGCGAAACTACATTTGCCTGGTCCATAAAGTTGTGTTATCAATTCATTCCGTGTCATGGGCGAAAAATTACCTGATAACAACAAACTAAATTAAGATTTATTTCCTCTAGCGCGCAGCAGATATTAATCAGTTAGATTTGTACTCAAACGTTGGTTTAAAATTTACATTCGACAGTCATTTATGATCTAATAATACTCCAGCCAAAATCCATACAAGTGTCAGATGAAACTATGAGCATTTGACAGGCGATCTTCATCAACTTACAAGATTTCGAAGGAACTACCTATAATGTAGTGTAAAACATAGCATTTTGCTTAATTTAAATTTAAAGACTGCTGTAGCCCCTAGCTCGATTGTGATTAATGTTTATCATTGTGAACGCGTGGGTGATAGTTTTAGCTAACCCCGCTCCGCTCCCAGCCATTCTAGATATGTCGAATGGCTGCGCTTCCATAATCTTAGCTTGTTACAGAAGTCCGGAATAACCAATGAGCAATGGTTTCATGGTTGATGTTCCGATCTTTACCACAGTAACTTAGATCCCGAAAAACTAGGCTTTCTTTGTATGTTGTTTTTAAACAAGCTACATAAGCGGGTTCCGCAAACATTGGACCCAAGTGCGATAGGGGGACAGTTTGCCACAAACATCCCCACACAGGATGATAACCATCCTGTTACTTGAGCTAGCAAACACCGTTGGAATTGTCACACCGCTGGGCTCCTTTGTTCCTATTTGACCGTAACTTTAGAGGAAACAAATTAGGTATCACGTACGATTCCGGCAGAGGCATGATTAATTTTTTGAAAGCATTAAGTAGCAAAACAGTTGGTACAGACTCAACCGTTGTTTAACCAATGCAGCTAACTTTTGGACTCAAATGAACCGATAAGCTAATTAGGTCTCTATTTTTCTTACTCAGAGATTTATTTCAACGCTACTGCGGTGAGCTGATTACTAGATCAGTCTGGTAACTAAGTTTAGTTAGCGGAAAACACAATAGGTTATCGCAGCTTGGTGAGAGTACAAAAAATAATGAGTTCCTGAGGCGGACAAATGGGTGTTGATAAACCAAAGCAGAGAGCACACTAAACTGAAAATTTATTTCGTCACTGGAAATCTAATTAGGTTTATTAATGTACAGACTTAAAAGTATGTAAATATTTTCGTCTAATGTAACCTGTAGCTTATTTGATTTACAGCAACCACATGTCACATAAGCACATATCTATCAAGTAAGAAAAAATTCTTCTTATTACCAGATTTTTCGATACTTCGGGTAATATAAATGGCAAGAAACGATAGCATGTTTACTAAATTTCAACCTACACAAACAGGTCGACTAAAGCATGTTCATGGTTAATCGCCGGGACAGTGGTTGATGGCAAAGACAACCCAGGTGTACATCTCCTTAAGTAAGATAAATTTCATCAGAACTGGTTGGCCGCATCCGTTTCCGAATTTGCGTTTCAAGGCTGCCTACATAGAAAGCCTGGGCATACAGATAGGAGATGAGTGGCTTGCACTGAACCACTCACAGCTCCATGCCCACACTCTACTCCAACAGACACAGTATCATTTCCGTCCATGTAATTTGGAAACATGCGTACCAGACCTACATAACTCGGTGGCTGGATAATAGTCCGCTCCAACTTGATGGAACCACAAGGCCACGAGGACCGTGCAGTCCGTCCCGTCAGCAAAGATTAGCGGTCTCGTGCGGGAGTAATCGAGGTGGAGCGTGGTAAACAAGAAGGCATCTTGTCGACATGCACTTCAAGCGCAGCAACACAGGGGATGTCAGACAGCAGCCAATCACTTGAAGTGACAAAATCAAATAATATTTATTAATAAAGCAGACGGATAAACCGACTTAACTCTTCGCTAAATGAACATATGCGATGGATTGGTTATCAACAAATCCGCGATAATTTCAAGATGCCAGAAGAATATCTTTAGTAAAGGCTTTACACTTGAAAAGCTACCGACTTTGAAAAATTCTGCTTAAGCGACGTGTGTAAGTAATAAGAAGCATATTCAGACAGACATCTACGTGATTTCCCAACGAAAGCATTAATACGATATAGCAAATCAACCACCTGAATAAATATCTCAGACCGCCGGTACGCCACTAGTAAATATAACCAAATGCAGCGCACTTACCAACGCTTCGCCGATTCTGCTTGCTTTCTCAGAAGGACCCATCGTCAAGATAGGAAACCCACCACTAGAAATAAAGAAACAGCACATACGCCCGCGGTTAGTAAATCGAATGCAGCGTACCTACCGATGCTGCGCCGGTTTTACCTACGTTCGCAGCAGCATACGTCGTCTTTTCGCTGCAGGTCCTGTGTGTCCTCGCTCGTGGCTGACTAAGCGTGCTTGACTCATGGTGCTACAGCACCATGTGCTCAACGTCGATGGAGTAAAACCCATTGGCGCCGGTTGCTTTGGCACTCACCGTTTCTTCCTCGCATGCAGGAGGACATTCTCTTGTACCTCAGCAACGGCCTTGATGATCAGATCGCGCCATGTAAGCCGATCAACTGCTTTCGATTCCCATGATCTGAAATCAACATTAGAAGGAGAAAGGCTCACTTTGATCATGTCCTGGTAACGAAGCTTCGGTTTCCAAGCATGCCGCTTTTCCACACTCAACCGACCATTGAATACCTACTTCGGTATCCGCATCGAATTCATACGCCACACATGACCAATCCACCTCAAGTGTCTCAGAAAAGGTATGCAGTCCAATGCATATATTCCATTTCCGCGCAAAGCTTTCGTGTCTGCAACCCTATTGTACCAATCATTGCGCAGAATCCGTCGCAGACATTGTTTATTAAAAAGCTCGAGATAACGTAAACCTTGCTGGTAAATCGTTCACGTTTCGCTGCCGTATGGAAGAATTGACAACACCATGGATTTGCACACTATCAACTTCTTGCGGACAGTAAGCTGGTGGTTATTCCATACACGGAACTCAGGTTTCCCGAATGCCGCCGCTGCCTTCGAGACGCCGATACGCAGATCATAGAGTATGTGCTGGTCAGTGAAAACAATGGAACAATGGTATAAGATGGATAAAACGACAAAGCTTGAAAATTTCCATATGATGGTTTGTTGGAATAACGTTACTTCAATGAAGTTACACAAAAGAGAAAAACACATATGTGGACTCACCATATTATTCACGTTAACACATAGGTCTATCCGTTTACTCCGGTTTCGTGGGGTCGCTGAGGAGAATGTTTGCCTGTGTCTTATCGTCACTCGATTAATAGAAATCAGATAACGTAGTGTAATTAATGAAAAGCAACTTTTTGTTTGTAAAAATGGGTAGCGTGGGCACGGAAATAGAAAAAGTCGAAAGAGCGTTCCGCGGCTGACAAACTCGAAGGAAAAATAATTCCGGCGGCATCCACTCAGACTGTATTTTGTGAAAGTTTCAAATTATGACCCATTAATTCTGTTTTGCAGCTAAGCTTCAGAAGGTGGCTGTAAGCGTGACCGGGGTTTTTATGATCTGAAATGCCAGAATGAGGTCACCCCGTAGACGGCGATGTCTTTCACTGTACACTCCCTACGCTTTCAGTCGCCTGTGGCATTGTAGGTAGGGCAACCTCTTTACATTTTCGCTGCCCATTGCTTTGCAGTCTCTCCGCGCAGCCAGATCGCGTTTTAATCAGGGTTGCAAAGCCTGGATCGCGTACTCTACATAGGACCTCACTTATGCATTGATCATTTTGGGGAAGATAGGGCGATCGAACTTCCCAAACGCTCTCCGTAACAGACCAATATGTTAGTCCGCGGCTTTGTACACCTTCAAGGACTGCGCCGAACAGCCGAGATTGTCTTGCATCACCACACCAAAGCCTCGTTCCTGTAAGGCTGTTTTCAGAATGGCCTCTCAAAGTATATATGCGTACTTGGACTTGTGGTGGAAATCTACTATTTTGCACTTATCCATGTTAACCTGTAGTGGAGTTACTTTGATTACCTAAAGGCGCAATCTATGTCTCCTTGCAACATATCGTGATCTTCCTGATAGTATACTGCCCGCCATATTTTGATGTCAACAAACAAAAAGCAAGAAAATTGACTTCATGACACCCCCAAGTTGGCTAATGAAGAACAAGAAAAACTGCGGCCCCAACATTGACGCTTGTGGAATATCGCAGTTCACAGTAATTGGATCAGAAAATGAGCCTCGAACGCAAACCTGAAGGCGCGGCTAAAAGAGGAAGTTTCCGATCCCTCCAAGGATAGGGTTTCCAAATCCGTATGCTTGCAGCTTTTGGAGAAGAATGCGGTGATCTATGCGGTCGAATGCCTTAGGAAAGCCTGGGTAGATAACATCAATGCCGGTTCCACTGTAGGCTATCTCGGTCCAACTGTCACGAACAA